TTTCTCAGAATTAATGATGGCTTACAATTTGTCGAATAAATTAAATGAAAGGTTTATTTAGCGCATGCTCACCATTAATATCTAGTTACATAGTGCACAGGGAAATTTTTAATCACAGTTTTTTTGCAATTTTTTATCTGCAGCGTTGATTGTCAATACAATCTCATTGAAACGAATTCAAAAAATTTCCATAAAACTATGGTAGCTACTTAAATATAGCATATATATTTAATTACAAGTAATGAACTATGGTAATCATGTATCAAGCAGCCACAAATATTATCAGGTAGCCAAATTATTAGATAAAAATCTTTATTTATATATGAACAGCGTGGATCAGGTGAGAGCTGACGCGGCGCCAAGTTCTGTAGGTCGACTAGGCTGCCGCGTCGGTGGCCTATATTTGGCTTTTAAATCAATAGCCATGCGTGTAGCCTCTCATTTTTCCGTAAATAGAATGGCTTCCTTATTTTAGCCTGCTTGTACTCGGCCGTAGAAGAATGGTCATTCCGAAAAGTCAACTCCAGCAATGTTGCGAGCTTATGTTAAATTAGGCAATTTAGAAGAGTTCTAGCTTTAATTTACGCGGTATGAAAACTCTACGGAATTTACAACCTGTGTTTTAATAACTCCCTGCTGTAATGCTATACTCTCGGAAGACTCTCGTTGAACATTCTAATCTATGTACCCGGATTGTATATCAAAATTAACACTAAAATTCTTATCGGGAAATTAACTAAGAATCTTTTGGTGGACATAATGCTGACTACCATTCATTACCGCAAATCGGACATAATATGTAATTTTCAGGTGAATTCTTTTCTTCACGTTGGCTTAGCTGGTATTAAGTTGTTCCTACTTGAGTTTGTATATAACGTATCTATAAGTGAAATACCTTATCTGCTAAATTTATTCTAGTTATGAGGTGAGAAATTCTGAATAAGGCACCAGTAAATCTTCCGACCTGAAATTTGCAGCCATTCTCCACCCAACGCCGGTCCTCTTTAGGCTGGCTGATCCTCTGCAACAAAATGCCGGAAAAATGTGGAAAATATCCGGCAGCATTCGGGGGCAAAGATGCTGCAAAGCTTGGATTTGGGGAGCTTCTTACGAGAAATTTCCCCTCTTGTGTTGCGAAGCTTGTCCCTCACTATCCCGCTAAGCCGCGTGGTAAGATTGAGGCCGCCTCAAAGAGGTAATCCTTGCAGAGAACAGTTTCATCAACCTTACTTGATGCTAATATAGGAATTAACTTTTTCTTGCTTATCATTGTAAGCGCGATTATGATGTGGGCCACACTTACTGCAGAACCAGCCAAACCAACTGTACCTTATCCGTGCAGGGGATTGAATTTGAGTATTTCCAACACTCTGTTGAAAACAAAGGCACTGATGGATAATTGAGGTGCAGCGTAAATCAAAATAAGGAATTTGTGAAAGAACCAAGCGATTGCCACGTACTGAATCTATTGCTCGTAGTAGTGAACTGATAAGATTCCGTAAACAAAAATAGTAAACTCAACAAGATGCCGCAATAATACTTTTCCCTAGTTATTCCTAACAAAATAATTCGAATTCAGAAATATCTCAACAGAATCTATGAATATATTGAAAATATTGCACGCCACATTGAAGCGCAAGCTGCTTCACGACTGAAATAATAGAAAGTGATGCGTATCGAATTATCGCGAGCTCTATCTTCTCTCGATGAAAATGCTAGTAACAGCAAGAGATAAAACACTAAGATAAAAATGAGTATAAATTTAACCAAGCATTTATAAGAAATAACTGTTTGAAAGATCGCAAAAAACGGCAAGAAAAATTGCGGCTCAAAAATTAATGACGCATTAGGAGCGGCTGCATCATTAAAATTAATTGCAATTAATGGAGTTTAGAGAAGGCAGTCTCTTGCCAACGAGAAATAGTGAAATGATTTATGTAGCATTTGCCGCTAATTATGTGAAATGTTGCAGCTTAGCTTCAAACAAGAATTTGAAACGGTAGAAGTTATTTTAGTTCCGTGTTTTTGTTTATGAAAGTTGGCATAAAATATGGTTTCATTTGTATCAAGGCAAATATAGAGGTATATGTGTGTTGAATATAGAAACATTAAGGAATTACCTGAAACACAAACATGCAATTATTTTTCTCTGATGTAAATCTTCTTCATGTAGTTTGAAGACAAATTAGTGGCATCGCATTTATGAAGTTTTCAGTTTGGAAATTAATTATAGCCAGCGTAAGTTTTATATTATTTGTATTTCAGAAATTAGTTTCAATATGCGTAATTTATATCCTTTCCGTACCTTTGCAACTTGACTTCGCATTAGATCGATCAAATTCCACATTTTTATTTATGTTAGTTACGTGTTGTTCCACCTTTTTATTTTAAACAGTGAGAGGATTTTCTGAACAAACTCGAATAATATATCTTATGGCATATATTGTGGCACTTAGTTCGCGAAAATTGCTTGATCTAATGTACCGAGAGGTTTTTTCACCTTAAATAAATGGTTTATTGACCTTGCGTAATTTCTTGAAATTTGTTCATATGTAGGAGCCACCTTAAATAAAATTAGCCGTTTACCTCAAGTTGGACCGGTTATTGGCTTTGCCCAGATGCAGAAAGCTTCAAAAAATTAAGTATATCACTCCTCCTTGATGCAGATGCTAGATTGCATCAATGTTCAATTTCGCTGTATTTCCCCGAAGTTTGCGTGACTTGTAAGACGGGATGAAGACTGTCGTGACATCAGGGGTTTGCGCTGCATATTGCAGACTGGCGCAGAGGCGGTGTGGGGTGAGCGTATACGGATCGATGAACGTGGTGGTGGACAGACGACTGGATCACTTCGGCTCCACATCGACACGTGGTCCAGCCGCTACTGTCTTGTGTACACCCGCTTGCTGCGACGCGTGTAGACTATGGTGGTTGTTGTGGTCTGGGGCATGCAGGCAGGAAAAGCGAATAACTAGAAAGGAAATTTATAGAAATTAAGCTAGAATTGGTATTGACGCCTGCAGGTCTTGCGTTCAATATTTAGTCAACATCTCTGCTTTTCGATTCCAATAGTGAATTCTTGGGAATGAAATTCTGAGTGCAAAGCCCTTCGCAAGAGACTGGCCAGTCAGCTTTTCGAGTTTACCTTACGATCACTTTTTCATCAATCAGTAACATCCCTTTGCATAGTAACATCATCATAAAAACCGTTAAAACCTTCACTAGAAAGGTTTGATTTTTACAGAAAATGCCTGGAAACGAAAAACCAAGCTGTAGTCTGCTTGAAAATTAGATCAGTACTCACTGCAGTAAGTGACAGAGAGAGCATTTTCTCGTCCGTCCGTCCGTCCGTGAAGTCAGGGACGGACGGACATGACAAGCACAATAGCGCTTTTTTCCATAAATGAGAAAATGCGCAAAAAAGAAGCAGAGCGGAAGTGAATAGTGAATGCCGGAACACAGTTCCTGCCAATTGACCTCACTAGAGAATGCATGAAAAAAAAATTATTTTCTGGAAGATAGTGAATCTTGATTTAATCAATAAAATTTCAAGAAAGCCTGGAATTATTCGAGTTCAATGTAATTTCATAAGCAATTTAATTGAGTAGTTTCCTTGTATAGGTGGATACTTACTTTATTAAACGTATGAAAGCAGAGAGTGGTTCAAGATAATGGAAAGCAATGTAAATCTTAAACAAAAAGAGGTTTGTAGGCTCAGTGCACCGCACATACTTCCTTTACTAAAATTTCATCTTAAGGAATTGATATACCGGTCAGAGCTAGGTAAAATGAAGATCAAACAGAGACGAAGTATGAAATTATAGACTTGATCAGAGAGTGTTGAGTTTTTTTTATCCATAAGTACTGTCTGCACTGAATCATTTTTTAGGCTTTCCCATGGGCAAGGTTTCCTAAATTACTTGTTTCAATAAACACAATTCATTTTTAAATCGTTTTACCACCACACCAGTGGGTTGTTGAATCATCTCACCAAGAAGACAGGAGGCGGTTAAATCGTCTTACCACCACACCAGTGGGTTGTTGAATCATCTCACCAAGAAGACAGGAGGCGGTTAAATCGTCTTACCACCACACCAGTGGGTTGTTGAATCATCTCACCAAGAAGACAGGAGGCGGTTAAATCGTCTTACCACCACACCAGTGGGTTGTTGAATCATCTCACCAAGAAGACAGGAGGCGGTTAAATCATCTTACCACCACACCAGTGGGTCGTTGAATCATCTCGCCAAGAAGACAGTGCAGTGGGTTACATAGGAAGCCGCTGCGTCTGGGAGGGAGTTAACGAAGACGAATTGTCTCAGGGCGTCAAGCCTAAGCCACCGAACACTGGCCGCTAGAGAGAGTACAATGTCCCATTACCCTGTGCATGATTTGAAAGATTCTAAGCTGGTCTATGATAAATCATATAGAAAAAACACAGTCATCATGGTTGCTGAGTGTGACTCGTGGATGCTTCCCTCACTGTAACAGTTATTGTGTGTTTTAACATTGCGAAGAATTAGGTTGAAATTAAATTAATTTGAAATCTTCTGAAGTTATGTCACATAAATTCATTGAAAATTACTGTCCCTGTTAGCATGCAATTTTTCCTTCTACATCCACTCAGGGTACCGTTGATTTGAATTAAGCTAGTAATACTGTACTTTTGCTTTGGATGCATCGCTTGTTTAAAATTATTAACTCTGATTCTGAGTCACGTCTATATTGATGTTTTTTTCACTTAACTGATTTCTCGAGAATTTAATTGCCGTCAATTAATAACATACAAAATTATTAAGAGACCAGCAGAAAATCCTGGTTGCCAAAAAATTAAAATCTCTATTAACGCAGTAAACACTAATTTTCAGCTGAAAATTTGGCTGAATCAGCATTATTAACTTGAGTCCTTTAGCTATCATTTTTATTATAAGATGTCCAACGCAGTATGATAATTATTATATTATTACATCATAATTTTTAATTATTATTATTTTTCACAGGGCTCAGCGGACTCGAATTACTCGCAGCCGTCATCTGATCTCTCACTTGACGAGGAGCGAGAGAACCTGCGGCGCGAGACTGAGAGACAAGCCATTACCCAGCTCGAGAAGGCTAAGGTGGGTCAAGCTCGAGAAGGCTAAGGTGGGTCAAGCTCGAGAAGGCTAAGGTGGGTCAAGCTCGAGAAGGCTAAGGTGGGTCAAGCTCGAGAAGGCTAAGGTGGGTCAAGCTCGAGAAGGCTAAGGTGGGTCAAGCTCGATAAGGCTAAGGTGCACCAAGCTTTAAAAAGACTAAGGTGGGTCAATGCTACATAAGGCAATACCTTACCTAGCCACTACCCAGCTCGAGAAGGCAAAGGTGAATCTCAGCTGAGTCCTGCAGTCCGGGGATATCATCTTGTCCGAGTGGACTGAGCTCCATGGAGGAGTCGGGATCAAGAGTGATGGTCCAACTCGAGTGCACTAAAGCGACCTGATGTTCTGCGTTGCCGTGAAATGACCTAGCTAGCGCGGCTGAAACCAGTGTCAATATTTCTTTCGAGCTTTGAATTTGAGATTCAGTTACAAGCGTACAACGTGAATTTATTTCAGTATCTAGGTTTCTTGGTAGATTCAATTTAATGTAGAAGAATGTAGAGATTAATTGTCATTTCTTAGTCGTCTTGGTTGATGGGTGCAAACAATCGAATATGTATTGGAAATTATTGGAAAACTTCAACTTTCCTATCACGTTGAGTTCAGCCATAGTTTAAAAATATTTATTTTGTAGTTTGTTTGGTGGATAAATTAAGTGACCGAACTAAACAAATACATAAAGGAAACAATATTTCAACACAAGTCAGGAAGAAAATGGCTAGTTTGAATATTCTCAATGCGTACATCAAGATTGGACTAAGAGTAATCTGGGCGCTAATATAATTTGAATGAACAGAAAACATTTGTTTATCAATAGGACAAATGTTGTCAAAAAATCATGCGTATAATGAAAATCATGCAGATGAAAAATCTCATCCTTAATAATTATTAAGGATGGAATTTTTCCTTAAATAATTAATATTTAATAAGCATTATTTAAATACTAATAATTACTTAAATACCTAACTTTGTTTTTTTACAGACCAAACCTGTGGCGTTCGCTGTGCGTTCTAATGTAGCTTACGACGGCTCTCTTGATGACGACTCTCCCGTTCACGGCTCTGCCGTATCCTTCGAAGTCAAGGATTTCCTCCACATCAAGGTCGGTCAATGTTCACAATGATATTGTACTTCCGGGGGGATGATATAATATGACGACTAAATGCGCATTAGTGTGGGTATAATTGTTTGAAATTTCTGAAATATTCTTGAAAATCAGCAGACGAACCCAGAGTGATATTAATATTAACTCCTAAACTAAATAAATTCATTAGTTAATTAATTGACATTAAACTAAATTCGACTCGTTTAAACTCTGTCTTTACGGAGAGTTTCTTTTCAGTTCGGGTGTACAAGAGAAAAAAATATATTAGATATTGCATTATGAACTTGATGCTCGTAAATTCGAAGAAATTTTAAATTCAATCATTATTATACTATAAATTTCAAAGTTATTTTATGAAAGCTGCCATGTATTTCTGGTAAATTCAACGAACTTCATCATATTCTAAAAAATATTAGCTTGTTGTTTGTTCCTTTATTTTTTAATTGAATCCGTACTTTTTGTTTAGAAAGCAAGCGGATCCTCATTTGTTTAAAAATACGCAACCAAATTTGTTCCTCGTGAAAAGCCTTTTTTTTATCCCTCTACACTTGAAAAAATCAGAAATAAATTTCATATTCTCTGCAGGAAAAGTACGACAATAACTGGTGGATCGGGCGGCTGGTGAAAGAGGGTGCGGACGTGGGCTTCATCCCGTCGCCGGTGAAGCTCGAGAACCTGAGACTCCTGCAGAACCAACAGAAGAACTCGAAGCTCTACACGAACAAGACTTCATCGTCGGGTAACGTGGGGGCTTTAGGCGATGCGCTCGCTAGTGGACCGAGTACCTCTAGAGGTCCATCTAACTCAAGAGGATCCACACCTCCCACACCTGGTTAGTGAAATGTACTAGTAATGATCCTGTAGTGAAATTTACTTTTTTATTTATAATTACTTTATTTGTTAGGTATTTTAGCGCAACATCTTCACGCCTGCAAAAACCGTCGAGATGTATTTTCACTGTAAGCAGCTGTCAAATAATCATAAGTGCACTAGGAGTATCAAGCGCAAACATGAGAACAATAAATATTGACAATTTTCGTAAGTCACCTTAAGGTTAGATAGAATTCATAGATTCGGCAGTCTAAGATTCAATTCACATTCATTACTCAAAAGATGTTGCTCATTCCTCTACAAGTCATTACTATCGGAGATATTGTTCTTCTCTCGTTTGATTTAAGTGGATGAGTTATGTTGGTTCCGAATTACGTTTTATGAGTAAACGAAATTCAAAATCAAAATCTGGTCCTAAAAAATTTTAAAAATTTCATCCACTTCCGTTGTGATAGAAATTGAAGATTTTTACCCGGAAACGGTACTGACTAATTTGCATTTAACTGAGAATTAAGCTGAATTTTCTCTCAATAACTTCTATCAATCCTTACTTTCAGTCTAAGACGAGTCGATTTGTTCAAAGTGATGTTGGCTGAAAGTCAAATATTCGGGGAGTCTTGGTCTCTTATTGGATTCATAATTTTTCACACAACAGAGGAATACGTCTTTGAGTCTTTACATATTTGTTCATAACTTTTTATATAACCGATTGTATTATGAACAATTCCTTTTTAAACTAGAAAGATATTTTGTCACAATCGTGTTGCTTATCAGTACTGTCGCATTGTAATCTGCGGTACGAATGCCAACACGCAGTCACCGGGTGTGATTTTCAATCTAACTTTCATGGCCAAAATTTTCCAAATAAATTGTCACTGCTTTTGTTCAGGCTTTTAAGGATGTGAAATCTATATTGATTTAACTATTTAGTAGTTTTTGAACTTCAATTTCCCACATCGACGCTTCTAGGAAGTTTGCATGATTGATTCTAAAGGGCATATAACGACGCACTTGTTAACGTCTCATACTTCATTCAATGATGATCTGTAGAATATCAATCGTGGTCATTATTACACTATGTAAGGCTGATGCCCGCGCTGCCTATTGATGTCTTATCTTCGCTTCGTTTAATTTATATTTTTTTTCTCTCCTTGGTGTCTTGGTGGGTGTGTTCGTGGTTATTGTAAGTACAGATATTTCTTTTCCAACACGCTGTGGAACGCAATTCGTTTCTCTTGTTTAGAAGGTCCTGGTGAAAACTCGTACAGTATCCAAGCCTGAACATGAACAATTGCCTCTGCTTTCTGTACTCATATAACCATCGCAATGGTAACTTAGAGAAAACCTCAATAATTTGCTTCAAGGAGTAACTTTTTATGATAGCGTTATAACGTTAACTTCACTGGAGTTTACGTTGTAACTTTTGCGTTGGTATAGCGTCAATAATTTTTTGTTGCTCGTTTTTTAAAATTACATTTTTCGATAGCCAAGCTTAAGAAAGTATATGGAAAATTTTTTTCCTAATTTAATGTGATGGTGGGTAAACGTGATCAGCATTTAGTGTATGATGCCGTTAACGAAGACAATGAATTAATCACACATAAGAAGGGAATTGAACAGGCTTGAATACTCTACGATAAACTGGGCCAATCCGGTCCGTTCTTTGACGGACCAGCGAGCAAACTGAATTTGACTAAAATCTACGATAAATAATTAGCAAAAAATCACCGTGCTCCAGTCAATATATTGCGAAGAGTATATTAATTTATATTAACCAGCACAAAAAATTTCTCGTTAATCATTGGTCATTTGTTCGCTCACCAAATACGAAAAAGGTCACAGAAAATTTTACGTAAAATTTCCAGGACAGCAAGTACATGGAATATAGTTCATGTAAACAAACAAATTCAGTTTGCTTGGGAGGAGTGTGTGAATTCCTTGATTTTATGGCTTTAATGATTTTCTGGCTTGGGTTGTGCTTTAGACATCATAGAGTCGCGTGCACTACCCCTCTCCAACGAAAGAGTTCCTCCCTTCGGTCATGGGGGTCGTCGATGAGCTCAAAAATATGAAACCCGTTCACTGCTCATGTATTAACGTAAACTTTGTGTTACCAATTTATACGTGTTACCAATTTCCGTTTATTCTAGTGATAGGCAGGTTTATCTATGAAACTTAAAATAAAAGGAGTAGATATTTCTCAAATTTCAAATGAATAATCTATATTGTTCTTAAATTTTATCACGAGCATTATAAATCGGCTAAATCGGCAGCGGTAGATATTTCATTAATTTCAAATGGATAATCTAGTTTGCTCTTAAATTCGATCACAAGCATTAAAAATCGGCAGTAAACGGCTGCACAAAAAGAGCTTTTCGACGACGGCTCTTGCTAATCATAGCGATCGCAGATGGAAAATTTTTACTTCTCTGTTGAGGCTTGTGGATTTTTACGACATTTTCTAGTCAGCTGCGATGACGAGTTTTCATAATTTCAGATTTTTCCAGATGTGACTGATATTTGGAATCATTTGTAGGAATGTGAATGCCAGTCAGTTTAAAGTTCGTTCTTTTGGCTAACGTGTTTACGGATAGAAATCCTGCTTGCATTTAACGTATATTTTTAGAATTCACGTTTTTACAATAAACTATTAGTGTTTCAAGTGCTCATACTTTGTGTGCCTTCTATCTATAGACTCACCTCGCAACTTATTTGCTTTAAAAATTGAAACTCAACGTTAAATCCTATTAAAGTAATCTTTCCAGTAAAATTTATTGGGTGTGTGAGTGTTGTATCTTGTATAAAAATGACAAGTCTATTCTCTTTACGATTTTCTAATCCATATAAAATTTTACTGCTCCAAGTAGACATAAATTTGCGCTATCGCCACCACATCGTGTCAGGGCATGGATGTGTGTCGAGAACATTACCATTACTTTATTTTTGAACCTGAAAAATTTGTAAATTATGTTCATTTAGTCCCTCAATATATCTTTCATACAGATTCATTTCCTTAACGTTCAGAAATGTCCAAGAAATAACAAGCGTATATGCATGCGATAAAAATGATCGAAATTTATCCGAGATAAGCTCTTTTTAATGAAAAATGGTTTGGGGCTTTCGAATCAAGCCTATGAAACCTCGAAAAATTTCATTCATGCAGTATTATAGTCAAATTTTTTATAGAAGAGTCCGAATGTTATGCCTGCAACTCGTTAAATTATAACAATATTTATCTCCTGTTATGACCGTCACTTTTCGTCGCTTGCAAAATATCTTTTCGATATCTGGTTAAACATTAGTAGGTTTTCCTTGTTTAAATCGTTAAGTTTCCTGTTATTATTCTTTTATTGCATAGCAAGGCAGCTGAATCACTGCCTGCACTGTTAGAAAGATCGCAATGAGCATTAGCTTAAGCCCAACTCTCTGAAAAAATGAAGTACATGGTTTTAGTTTAGCAAACTTACGATGACGAAAATAAATCCCATCAGGATGGTCGCTTTCGAAATAAATCCAAATCTGCAATTTATCAATAAGGAACATCACCGTTCTATTAGATTCGCTGTAATCCGAAACTTCACGTTTTAATAAACGTCACGAATTGCTAAGGATTGATTGTGAACTTCCTTCTGAGGTTGGATTTAAAACAAAAACCCATTATGGACAGGATAAAATATGGCATTTTGAAATATCATATTAGTGACTTTTAAAGTTAGTTTTGCTTCGATGTTTTTCTCTCTACCATTTTCAATCCTTTTCTTAACTTGTTTAGTTTATTATTCAAGCCATCGGTGTAGTCGATAGTATTTCTAATTAGTGTCCACCATTTGAACGACAAAACCTCTGGTGCTTTATTTTTTCATTCACGAAAATATCGTTTGTCGTCTGGGTAAATGTTGCGAAAACGTTTAATTTGGTGATATACTTATTTTTGCCAAAACGTTTAATTTGGTGATATACTTATTTTTGCCACTCAACTTTTTAATGCTAATCTTCATAAGCGTGTCACTTCTGCGTAAGTTTTTCTAATGATAGACTTGCATTTCATTGGGATTGCAAATCATGCAGGCAACTTAAAATCAACGGTCTCACGTTACACTGTTATATTTGCCAGCCAAGACTTACTATTTATGTTGCAAGGTAGAATTCCTTGGAGTTTTAATGGGCTCTGGAATTATACTGTGAAATCCCTAGCATTGACAGCAATTTATTCAACAGGGATTGATCTGGATAACGGCATTGAAGGAGCCGGAGGACTCGGCGACGATGCAGATTCATTGGGAAACTCAAAAAATAAAACTTCCATTACAACTCCGCCCACAAAAGAAAAGAGAAAACCCTTCTTCAAGAAGCAAGAAAACATCCCCCCGTACGACGTAGTTCCTTCCATGCGGCCGCTAGTTCTAGTCGGTCCATCACTTAAGGGGTACGAGGTCACTGACATGATGCAGAAAGCACTTTTCGACTACGTCAAGCATCGCTTCGAAGGAAAGTAAGTTTACACGAATTGAAACTCCTGAACGAAAGTAATACCTACTTTTGTGGAGCTTTAATGTTTCATAATTCTGTGCTCAACTCTTCTTGTTCTAGTAGAGATTATCCTTCAGTATATCTCTCAATTTGACATCACTATACGCCTCGTTATGAGTTTAAGTCATGTTTTTAGTTAGCCTCAAATTAAATGGTAATCCTCATTTCACTGCTGAAATTTTAATATAAACATTCCATTTTGAACTAAATGGCAAAGTTGGATAATTCTGGGATAAGAATTTATTTTTTATCCGTCAATCTTTACTCAGTTCACTATCAATTCTCTTCGGGATCTTCTTTGCATCACCGCAAAAAAAGTGCAAAGCGTCACCCTTCCAGAATGTCAAACTCGACCTGATTCTCCTCCAGTACCACAATCTCGATTTTTAATCTTAATCACCCTTAATCACCCAACCCTTTTCTTAACCCACTGGTTGATCCTCCGAGTGATCTTCACTAAATCCCCTTGTGATCTCTGTCCCGCTAATGATCTTTACTAAAATTACAATTCTTTCTTGCCCAGGGTGATTGTCACCCACAACTATTGATGAATCGGTGTCACACAAAATTATATTCCGTGGACCTAGAGAAATAATATGATCCGTACATAAATGGAAATGAAAATTTAGCTTTATTTTATGAAATCACCTAAGATGATAATCACCCACATCACTATTCTCTCCAGCTTTCCCCGGATTAATCACCCAATAGTGACCCAAGTCACTATTCTCTCTCCCCAGCGTGATAAAACATCACAATTTTCTCTCTCCCTGCATGATAATCACCCATATCACTATTATCCTTCTCCATCAACATAACCATCACCCACATCATTACTCATTCTCTCCCCAGACTTATAATCACCCATATCACTGTTCTCTGTCTTACCCACGGTAATAATCACCCGAATCACTATTTTCTCTTGCTCCCAGGGAGAGAAAAATTCTATTCTTTCCCCCCACCCAGGGTGATAATCACCCGTCACTATTCCCTTCCTCCCGCAGAGTGATAATCACCCGTCACTAATCCCTCCTTCCCGCAGGGTGATAATCACCCATCACTCCCCCATCCAGGGTGATAATCACCCGTCACTATCCCCTCCCTCACGCAGTGTGATAATCACCGTCATTCTTCCTTCCCTACCGCAGGGTGATAATCACCCGTCACTGTCCACTCCCTCCCCCAGGGCGATAATCATACTTCTCTCTCCCCCACGCAGAGTGATAATCACCCGTTACTATTCCCTCCCTCCCCCAGGGCGATAATCACTATTCTCTCTCCCCCACCCAGGGTTCTAATCACAATTCTCTCTCCTCCATCCAGGGTGATATCACTATTCTCTCTCCCCAACCCAGGATGATAATCACCCGTCATTATCCCCTCCCTCCCCCAAGGCGATAATCACCATTCTCTCTCCCCCACCCAGGGTTCTAATCACAATTCTCTCTCCTCCATCCAGGGTGATATCACTATTCTCTCTCCACAACCCAGGATGATAATCACCCGTCATTATTCCCTCTCTACCACAGGGTGATAATCACCATTCTCTCTCCCCCACGCAGGGTGATAATCACCCGTGTCAGCGCCGACATCTCGCTGGCGAAGCGCAGTCTACTCAACAACCCCAGCAAGCGCGCCCTCATTGACCGGTCAACGTCGCGGTCGACGTGCATAGCGGAGGTGCAGGCGGAGATTGAACGGATCTTCGAGCTGGCCAGGACCCTGCAGCTCGTCGTGCTCGACTGCGACACAATTAACCATCCATCGCAGCTCGCCAAGACTTCGCTCGCGCCCATCATCGCCTACCTCAAGATATCTTCTCCGAAAGTAATTTTGCGGCTCATTGCATATGAATTTATAAATCTGATGCCATTGTGATCTTTTTAATACAGAATAGTATTGTCCCAACGATACATTCTACTAGAGACTCACGCGGTTTGCATTTAAGATGGCTCAGAGTAACTGTGATTACTTTTCACGATGGAGCTTATTCAATTCCGTCCCAATAGCGTCTTGATATTTGAGCGCAAATTTTATCCTAGGGCCAGTCAATATTTGCAAAGTTGATCGATTATGAACGTTTCTATTAGACCACATTTGGCATTTACAATAATGGCTAATGCTGTTTTTATAGTTCAACCAATGGGAAGTAACTTGCTGTAATCCACTCCCGAGTCCTATCTTTTTCGCTTATAAACGCGTTAATTGGAACGTAATCACCCAAATAGGGACATTTTGGAAATGGCTCCAAGTTTTTGGAGGGTTTTTGGTCACCAAAAATCATATTTAACAACGCTAGGATATATATGTGATAGACTAAACGGTAAATCTTTCGTCTAAGCCTATATTGTCCTGGCATTGACGCATGTTTTAACGCCATCGTAGGTACTCCAACGCTTGATCAAGTCGAGAGGCAAGTCGCAGAGTCGGAACCTGAACGTACAGATGGTGGCGGCCGAGAAACTAGCTCAGTGTCCTCCGGAGATGTTCGATGTCATTTTAGACGAAAACCAAGTAAGTTTTTTGCAAACAAGTATAAAACCGGGTTGTGTATGCTGACACCCATCACCCGGGATATTTTCTGTCCTCCTTTAAGTTTTACTCAGCATTTGTAAATTTATCGATGCAATAATCACGTCATTTATGATATCAATGTAATTGTATAACTTATAAGCAGTCTTCTGGACTGCGTGCAATTTATTTTCGGCTTATCAGTAAGCATTGTTCGGGAGTTAGTATAGTTTATTTTCGGTTCATTTATAATCATTTTTTCGGGCGTTAGTATAGTTTATTTTCGTTTAATTTGTAAGCATTGTTCGTACGTTAATATAGTTTATTGTGCGCAGTTGGAGGACGCGTGTGAACACATCGCCGAGTACCTGGAGGCCTACTGGGCGGCTACGCATCCTCCTGCAATTCCTATTCCCCAGATCCAGCGACCAATAATCTCCCCAAACTCCCCTTCCCGCCCCAACCACGCCGGAGCTGCCTTACTTAGACCTGCGACCAGTCCCACAGGTTAGAAAATTGAACATCATTGTTGTGTAAGTTTACAGCGAGAATATATTTTTTTTAAGTTTCCCAAAACAGCTTTTCATGAAGGAGTTTAAATATTTGTCGTTCGAAAATTATATTTCATATATATTGTGAAAATATAAAGTAGAAAACGATATTATATTCTAAAATATAATCTCTTCACAATTTTCTTTAAGTCGGATTAATGCATCTTCCCCTACAATGTTTCCTGAGTGAATGAAAGCAGGATAAATTAAATTTTATTACAAAATTTTTACGAGATTAATTTTTAATGTAGCAAGATGTGGATAAGATATCCACAGACGTTCGAATACCCAGACATTTTTTGGTGTCGTCAATTTTTCCCTGAATTGTATCCAGGGTAGAATAAAAGTAATTCCATACCAAAAGTTCTTTCAAATTGTGATGTTGAGATAGCAAACAAGGCATTAGGAGCGAATATTTATTCAATTAAAAGTTGTCGCGTACGAAAAAGTCTTTCTCGATTTTCTGGAATGCAAACCGAAAATGAAAACATTTCGATGTTGAAGCACATACTGAAGGACACGTTTTTACAATTTTATATTTGTTTTTGTCACAACTAATGAGTCAAGAGCGCCTTCATTATGTATTCATGGCCAGAATTTCTTTCCATCTTTGAGAGTTATCAAAACAAAATATTTTTTATGTCTGTACTCAAATTTTATACTAGACCGACGACGAATGAAACAAAGTCGAATTGAAAATGTTTTTTTTTTGTTAAACGATCACAAGGAGACAAACAGAATTTGGACCCGCATAATAAAACTGACGGCATTTTTGTATCTCTGATACTCATTAACAGAAAATGTTGTGTGAATTTTTTCCAGACAAGGCCAAGAAAAAGGTTCATATGCACTAGGTGAGCTCAGAAAATATATAAAAGCTTCACTAGCTAATTTCAACGAACTAGTTGCTGCGTAATTCTGCTAATTATCACGATCAATTGCCTTTAATATATTAACACAGTCAATGGGACTAATTATGAAAAGCCTGTCATTTATGTTGATGGATGTGTTGTGGAACTAAATGTCTGACGAGATGCGCACAGCTAACTATAACGTAAGGTGCGACTACAGTGAATGGATTCACGTTCTTCTATTTTTCTCTTCTCATTATGAATTCGAGCTTGAACATTTTCTAATCTTATCTTTTCAACGACTCACGTCTGCAGGCCACCGACGTTGTTATCTTATGGTTTCATCATTTATATTATTTGCTGTTCAACGCTCACTTCAGTCTAATTGGTTTGGTTTTTTGTGTTTTCATATAATTTTCCTCAAATGTCTAAAATATTTTTAATACTTCCTGTAGAGGTTCTACCGCATATATTCCGTAACTCGGCATCTATAATCGAATTCGAAAGTTTTTAACTACTACTTTACTGTAGGAATATTTTTCATCTAAATAAAGTCTATATGCAATGTGCATATTCGAAATCACGAATAAATAATGTATACGATTATACATGCAAACAAATATATATTTTAGATACTAAAATTGGTAGCATCACATAATTTTTTTTTAGTTAACTTCTGCTGCAAACATTGTATATTCGGACCAATATTCTCTATTTTCCATGAACGTAATTAACGCAATAAATAATTTCATGTCACCGCAATGTAGGTATTCGCTCGTCTGTTTTAGCTAACAGAGCTACTTGTAAATTGTTAATTGGTAAACAAACTCATTCCAGTGATGGGTAATGGGATAAAAATCACCAATTCAATTTGTAGTTTAGGACTTATAAAATATTTAATGGCTCTTGTACATTAATGAGTAAACTTATCGTGGCGTATTAATATTGTAGAGTTGCAACAGTTCTGTAAATATTTCTGCAAAGTTATATTTGTGTAAACTTGTAGCATATCGGGATAGATATTTTTCCGAAGTATTTAAAACTAAATTAAATGATATAAATGGAGCGCAAATTTGTAGAAACCTTCCTGAGTCTCACTGTTATTAATTTCAGCCTTCACGTGCAAATGATTTCTATAGATTTTCTTTGGTATAGATATCGTTGGTTGTCAGTCATCACAGCCAAATACTTTCACTAATTACTAAGAGGTATCAGAGGGCTGTAGAAAAATCTTTACGCTAACTGCCAAATGGTGTTATAAAAAATTGATAACGAAAAAACTTGTGATTGAACTCTTGCCTAATTTAGTGCAATGAGCATGTTTAAATTAGATACTGGAATTGTAATATAATTTGTTAGCAATGTAAATTCGGCTTAATTTTTTTCGGCCATTTATGTATTTGATCATTTTTTCTTTCTCTTCTGCTGCTGCAACATGGACGTTGAAACTCTTTTCGACAACACACCTGATGATTTTATATCCAATGCTTTTTTTACACATAACATTCATGCATACATGCATCTTTCGTAACGATTATTTATTTACTTTCTATATTTCTTAATGGGTTCATATTTACGATGGTCAATTCTTTCTAATTCATTCTTTTTCAATCATATATTTGTGTGTCATCGAACTAAAAAAATTTACCTATTTATTGATATTCCTTGTCAATATTATATTCTTTGATCCATCACTCGTTGAAACGATAAATAAATATTTATCTTCTTCAATCATATTGACTTCGATCAAGTGACTAATTCACGGACTCGCATCATTGTGCTTCATATACTTATTTCTTCTTTTCTCTGAATCTTCTGACCATCCCGATCTTCCACATACCACTCTTTAACATCGACAACTTGTCAAATGTTTATACCATCACTGGATGACTTTGACAACCATCTTCTGAGTGCACGGTACTACAGGATTACCAGGACCTCGAGAGCCTGGTGGCTATGGTCGCTACCCTGACGAACGAGGTAAATCTCCTGCCCCGAGCACCGCTTCTTCAACTTAATTTCGAACGTTTCTTCGCACGCAAGCACGTGTTCTGCAAGTACCGTAGAATCTGTGACATTGAAGGGCACGAACTGCTACACGTCCTCTGCCAGCTCCGTCTGCCTGCGCTGTTAGTTTCTCGATTGAATTCAGTCTTGCCCTACCCATCGTTATGAAGAAAAATACCTGAATTAATCTTTGACTTTATCTAGAAAAAGTGCGGTGCACCCAATCGAGCGCTTTGTATTGTTCGTAGTTTAAAACGAAAACCTGATTTCAATTTTACCCTATCCTATATGTAGGTGGCACAAAAGGTATAAGTTTCATTTCCTCATATGCGCGATAACGTATCAAAATATCACCTGTAACTGCCATTTTTTGGCTTTACCCTCTATGAAAAATCCCGTAAATACGTCTTGCTCGGCTCGCATACAACTGATCGTGTGGATCCGGCATGGAATGATAAAGTTCAAACTCAATATCAGCATGCATGCACAGCTATCAACGTCCTTCCCATTATCCTACACTATTCGCACCTCTGCATCCCAAAACATGCGATCATTCCTACTTGCATGCAAACTAACCATCATGTTCTCGAGGATATGCAAACTAAGTCCAAAAAGTTTTAACCAAGTCAAATATTTTGCCCCTGTTCAAATTTCAATACATTTAAGCTATGGGAATGACCGCCCACGATATAAGTTAAATAAAGGAAAAAACTTACTATAGCACATACTAAAATTCAAATTTTCCTACTTCATAAACCTTTCTTTGTTGTGATTGTGTCCGCGCCCAAGCTTCACCTACTCAACTTGTGTTAATACATAGTCTGTCATTGCTATCCGTTCGTTCTCAATTAGGTTTTCGTTAAACTACATTTAAACTTCCTATTGAAATATCTGCATAACTCGACATCAAACGTCCTTAGAAATTAATTATATGTTTCAAACTTTGTTCAGATTTATTCATGGCCTACCCAGAAGTGCATGATTCGATTCTGAAAACACACGATATTTTTCGAGTGCAATTTTTGGTTGTCTCCAATTAACTGCCAAAATTTACGTAGAGATTTCGTCACAAAATTGCATCATTCACCTCGTAGTCTGCATGGTTTTTAGTTCGTTTGCTTGAATTCGTGGAATTGACATAATTAGTTGAGCTTCAGTAACTCAGCATGAATCTAATATGTAAGCAATTACCAAATTAAAACTCTAATATTTTCTTCAATTAATCCAAGCGTTATGCTGACTTCGTTCAGCTTTTTGCATGTTGTGGTAGCATCTAACATTAAAAAATGAGTTATGTCCTAATTATATTCTTATTCATAGTTGATTGCTCTCAAATTATTACGATCCATAACCTAAAAGTAAAAATTTCGTAGTTAAAGTTCATGTTGGATGAATATTTTCAAACGATTCAAGATTTTGGCATTTGACTTCGGTATCTATTTATTTCGGTGAAATGTCGTTTCACGTCCTTAATTCGGTTGAATTTACTCTAAAAAATCACGCAAGTGAAGTTTAATAAATTTATTCAGAGACTTTCCTTGCGGTTAAATAAAACACAACATTTATATAAAGCTTGAATAGAGCTAAGAAATACCATCCCTTCTTACTTCCCATCCAATTTGGATTGATATAGATTTCCTCATGATCAAGTATACACTACATCATCAATTTGCTTGTTATTTGTAACAAGTGGATTTATTTTGAGTTTAAATTTAGCGTTCCCTGTTGCACATCGCTTACATGGTAAACAGTAACCAATTTTTGGCTTGGGTGTTGCAGTTTACCACCGAGGAGGTCCTACAGGACACGGGTCTCTTCGACCTCACCGCGACCCCAGAGACTACAGAGACATGAGAGACCCTCGAGACTACAGGGAAAGAGATTTAAGAGATACCAGAGACTTGTTGAGAGACCCACGGGATCAAAGAGATCCTCTTCTTGATCCTCACGATGCTCGCGATGTGCGAGACTCATTGGATTGCAGGGATTCAAGAGATATAAGAGATCCTAGAGACCTAAGAGACCCACGTGATTTTAGAGACCCTAGAGACTTTAGAGATCCTAGAGACCTGAGAGACTCCAGGGACCTCAGAGATCCACGTGACCTCAGGGATCCCCGAGATCTTAGAGTTCCATTAGACCCTAGAGATCATAGAGATTCTAGGGACTCAAGAGATCTTAGAGATCCCAGAGACCTTAGAGATCCTAGAGACCTTAGAGATCCCAGAGACCTTAGAGATCCCAGGGACCTTAGAGATCCTAGAGACCTTAGAGACCCCAGGGACCTTAGAGATCCTAGAGACCTTAGAGACCATAGAGACCTTAGAGATTCTCGTTTCGACGAATTCGGCGATCGGGGACTTGCGGGTCCCTCTTCTCTTCCCCAAGACCCAATCCTGTACGACAGACAACTTCCTCCTCCCGCGACGCGACGGCAGCTCCCCAGCACCAGGGATGAGGAGTACCACACCCCACACCGGCCCGCACCCGGAGCTCGGCAACCCCTCAATGCATAACATCTCTACGGCATAATCCATTAATTACTTGTTTCTTGTACACCTCAAATGGATATTGCCATTCTTTATCATCTAATGTTCTTTTCTATACCCTTGTTAATGGAACTTAAATATGATATGGACATGCTTTTTCTGCTCCGAGCAAAGCATTGAAGATTGTGCCTTCAGTAATGCTGCGGGAGTTGTTACCTGTCCTCGCTTGCTTTACTGTCGATTCCCTTTCAAATTGAACTAATTTGCACTGCTGTTCAAACTCAACTTATTTCTAGCTGCGTAATTACGACGCTTTTAAAAGAAGTTGACCTGCAACCATGAGGTGCATTGTCTGAAACAATATCATCCATATAATCGGTTTCATGTAATTTTAAAATCCTTTTTTTGTGGTCCACCTTGTTGTTTCTCACCGGCTGTCAACTCATGTGAATTACGAATAACTTTGCTCCTCTCTGTTTTTCTTCTGTTTTGTACTGACGATTCTTCCGTGAATTCCACTCGAAAAACATTAGTGATGCTCCTCGTCCGTTTACTAGTTTTGATTGCAATAATTTGAAATTTTTTCAGCAAACAATTTCGAAACGTCAAATAAATTATTTTGGATTTTATATACTCAAATATCATATAGCCCTGACCAACACCCTTGCCTGCAATTGACAATTTTTTTAGGAATCTAGTAAAATTGAGAAATGATTGCAATGAGAAGTTATTGCCAGAAGTTTGTGTAGGTTCTGTTGTGCCAAGTATTTCACGTATTGAAATGATTGTCTGGGAGCTAGAATTGTTTATGCTAATCAACTGGATTGCAGCATTCACCTGTGTAGATTCAGTTTGAATGAAAAAATGTCAATGCTTTGAAGAAATAAAGCTCTTTTTTTTTAATGGCAGATTCTACACAATTTACGGGAGTTGTTATATTAACAATGTTCCCAATCGCTTTCACGGGTCCAGGCTGTCAGCAAGCGAAATTTTTATCAAGCGATATTACTTACACTGAGAAAAACCAAAATTCATTATGTTTTGCTCGAATCATATCCGATTCGGTTTAATAAATTCTGATGTAAGTTTACAGTCTAAAATCTGACGGTATTTACTTAAGATAATTTGCATGGTTACTCGAGGAAAGGGCGATGACCGTCAATGTTTTCCGAGTAAAACTGGAACTTCTGATGCATGAATTTTTTATACTCATGTTCATCCATTCTGTATGTTGACTTTTAAGTAATACACGTACTGCATGAACATGGACCTTGCCTTGTCTTTATCGGTACATTCGGGTTCTCATGTGAAAAGCCCGTACTTATTCTACACACCTCGAGGCTGGCACGGAAAGCTCTACCCAACTGCAAAATGTTGCCGGATTATAAGTGGCTTTGGTATACGCTGAGGTTGGCCACTGATAACTCGCTTAACATTTACTCTCGGGTACTGCAATTGCCAGTGTGACAAAGCTTTACCCCATTGAAAATTTTAACTGGATTAACGCTGAACAGCTGTTGAAGGTTGAACTACGACCGACGATATTACGCTTAAAATTTTCAAGTGGGTACCACAAATCTGCTCTGTAGGAAGTCAGTGTAGAATGATTATTAAAAACAAGTCTTTCAATCTGCATATATATAGTATCGTCTATTTTATACTAGTATCAATTCCTATATTGATATCTGATATTATTCAAGTATGTATCAATGGATACCTTCATACCCCCACGTTACTTTCAGTTGTAGAAAATAAGTCTTTGGGAATGACTTTGTTCAGCATTCTTTCTTTCCCTAACAAAATTTAGAGTCGCCACAGCTTCTGGTAATCGAAATCAGAAGCTGCCGCGTCTGTAAATTTTCAACGGGTTATTACCTTCGACATAGCTTCCCTACCTTCATCCTCTTTCAGTTACCGCCTATACAGTAGTGAGAATAGTGAAGTTTTATTGCGCATATGTGTTAATAAATGAAAGCTAAATGTCGGTTTCTTAATTTCTTAATGGAATTTCCAATAATTGTTTTCGAGAATCATCAGGTTTACATTACGATTAATTGGTTTCATGTCGAAGCATCCGCTTCTGGTCAGGTAGCAATTATTTCTGTTCCAATTTTTCCTCTACATCAAAGAGCTTTTCAATAGCAAACTATTCTCAATATCTGAAGTTCATCTCCAGTATTTAAGGGTTTCCCTTTTTCAATTACTCACAGATTGTTTAAATTTCTAGGATCATATAATTTCTAATTTTCGAAGTTTTATGTAAGCTAGAGATGTTTGTAATTTATTTCTTTTACTGATTTTTAATTCTAGGATCTGCTAAGTTCTAGTTTTTTGAAGTTCAATGTAAACTAGAGATGTCTTAGCATTTCCTTCATTGCATATGCATCGTACTCGACAAATCTCCTTTGCCACCTTTTTATTGATAAGAGATCTTGCGTACTTTTGATGCACGTCTCTCTTTCAACTGAATTTGTTTGACGTGAATTGAACGGTGGTAGGTCACTTGATGACAGATCATCTCTAGGAATTGTTAGAAATAGATTTTATCTATAAATATATTGTTGTTAGAATGGTGGACGGAAGGTTCGTGTACCAAGATTGATGTGTGAACCCAATGCATGTACATAGGTATATAAATATATATTTCTAGCTCTTTGTTTGTTATAATTCAAACACATAGACTTGCAGCCCCATGCCTTCGACCATTACGTAGGGTTGTTTATTACTATAGATTAGTGTGTTGATTGAAAAAGGAAAAGACGCCGTCGATTCTATACAATTTCGGGTATAAAATATTTTTCTTATTAAGTTTAAATAATTTTTTCTCATGTTGAGATTCTGTCTATTTTGATTTACCTTCCGTATTACTGGTTGATTTTTGCGGCGTTTGCCCATTACCTGATATATTTACTTTTTGACATACGAAGTATACTGTGCTACGGATAACTCCAAGCAGAGTCTGTCTGAGCATGGTTTGTTTAAGCAATGAATTTTAATATTCCAATTCAATGTTAGGTTTGTGATCCAAGTATATGATCTTGGCATAGTTTTGTTCATTTTAATTCTGGTTTTTATTTCACGTGAATATTAGGAAGTAGTTTTGATTAATTTGCTTTAATGTTTAGAATTTATGATGCGCCCAAGTCTAACTGAAGATCCAGTAAGTAGGTTATGAACTGACCAGCAGCTTAAGAATTTTTTTATTATTTGGCGCCATCTAATCACTGCGTGATTTAATTTTTGTGACGTCAATTAATTCGATATATTTTTCGGGTACGTATATGGCCTTTTTTTGAAGGACGTGGTTTTTCAATACCAGCTTTTGAACTCTTTGACAATAAACATGCAAATCATGTGTACATAAAAATCTGAATTGCCGCGGTTTTTTGGCAAATAATTGCCTAGCTTGATAAAACTTTTTTTGGGTTTCTAGAAAATCTTTTCGTGCATCCTTGAATTTTGGCATCTTGTGGTTCCTCAAATTCAAAAGATTGTTATTACAACAAGTTCAATAAATGTTTTCCAGCGAAGTGAACAACTCTTAATAATGGAATTTTTACTGTTCAGTTTCATATGATTTCATTTTTTATAGATGTTATGTGATCTATGATGAAATGAAAATATCATAAAATGAAACTGACATGAAATGTCAATATCGTTTTAAGTTATTTTTTCCAACAGAATCCCAGTGCACGAATATTTTAAACAATTATTGTATGTCTCATGGCCAATTGTTTACTTAAGATATTTTAAATCCATCATTAAGGCCCTGATTGAGGCCCGAGAAACGCGAGAACAGATCCGCGCTTGAGTCAAGAAACGAAGACATGAAAATGCTCAATGTCAATTTAAATTAACTTTTTCAGTTGTGCTTTCGGTTTCAAACATTTGAAACTTTCTATGCATCATTTTTGTTCGAATTTAAACTGACATTTTATCACATTTGTTATAAGTAAATAGAGAATTGCAATTAGGGTAAATTTTTGTATAAATTACCAATTTATAAGTCTGAATATTATTACTTTTTACGTCATCACCACTATTTCACAGAGTCAAGTGAAATAAAACATTAAACAAACTCAAACTATTTAAATTTTTACTGTGAGAGTGCATGCTTAGCGTGCTGAACTTTAATAACATCATACCTAATCATACCGCAGCTTTATTTGTGTGAAATCCCACAGCCATACCACTATATAATTAATGTTTTATATACCGCTGTCATGACACTATATGATTATTGCTCGGGCCATGCTGTCCCAAACTTACCACGTTAAATTTTTCGTACTCTGATTCGTATTCTAAACGATCATAAAATTATCGTCCAAGTATAAAGCCTAAGTTCAATGTGCCGGCCGTGCTTAAGTGTTGGGTAGTAATTATACATTTTGCTAAGTGTAACTAACATGTGTACACAAAGTTCTTCATACGTTCATATGAAAGCTAGGAAAAACTCGTAAAAATGGAGGTAAACAACCGTCGAGTGAATGGAAACGTTAAAAAAAAAACAATCAAAATTTTTACTGCTAAAAATTTCTAATTTGAAATGACTACAAATTCAACTCATCAAATAAATCAGATTTTTTGTTATCTCTTGATATTTTAATTTAGATTATTCATATACATGGATTTGAAACGATTACTCCATACTAACAAAATTATTTCGCATGTTCATACCACCTAATTGTGATATTATGAATATGAATAGTGATTTTGATGAGTACAACAACAAGCAGCTTATGTGCTGCATGACGGAAATGACTCCCCATTCTCTAAGTTATTTTAAACAAAAAGTTAATATCTGCAATTTCAGGAAAGTTAGGAATTATTTCGTGCATTCAACTCGATGTGGTTATTTTATTTACGATTCTTGTCTAAATAATATATACAGTTATGTACCAAAGGCTTTAATAAATCGCTCGGTGTATTTGGGAGAAATAATTTTAATATCAATAAGCTAATTTATATGTTAACATGTTGACCTCTTTCGCGAGTGATTGATTGCTAGTTATTGTTATTTACTTTATTATATTTATTATGTTATTGAAAAATAAAACTTTTCAGCTGGATTCTTATATAATTATAATTTTTCGAGCGTAATCCGTTTTTAATAGGTAGCATTTTAATTATGTAATACTTTTCTATATTTTTGTTATGTATTTACCCTGCATAATGGTTGCTGGTTTCAACTGATGCTTATTATAAGGAAAATAACCTAGTAACAAAAATTTAAGTATTTGCAGAGACTCTCACGAGAATTATTGGTGTTGAACGATTATTAATCTATTTATCTTTAGCCATGCATTTCTTAGGAGAATCAGTTCATATAGACAAGTAAATATAGATCAAAGTTTCTCAAGTTCCGTAAGTGAAGATGATTAGGTATGTAACGCAGACTCGAGTGTCCAGTAGCGGATGACAAACCTTGAAGATCAATAATAAGTATTGCGTTAGAGAGAAATTAGCGAGCTCTCAGATAGATCATCATGCGTCATAATTAATATCTTAGTCATGATAAAGCCATGTTCACAGCAAGTCTGCTCATTACCAAATATCTCATTTTGGAATAATTTCATCCTGTCTAAATAAATTGAGATTATTTTAACAGGAAACTAGCAAGTGAAAAGTAAGTAAACTTTATTAAATGACAAATTAGTGGTAGATAATTTGTGATGCGTATAGTATAATGGTTTTAACAGGGGTTGCCCTTTAAAACTATTATAATCCGTTCCACCAAATAAATCAATATTCCTTTTGAATGGAACTAAGTTTATCATGCTAAAAATAAATAATTTTCAAATTATACCATAATACAATTATACAATAATTTATAAAAATGGAACTAAGTTTTAACGCGACACGACTGGGAGCGATTCATTGTTATGGCGGCTCATTCAAAGCTTTCCACGATGTGAAAAGTATTATAAACACTCATTGGCACGAAAATATAATACGAATATAGTCGCTTATTCGTTTGAAATAATGTTTCCCAACTTTTACTTCACACTATGAAGTACTTTATTTACAAATATCTCCCAAAGAAATGTTACACACTGGGCACACCTACAAATTTTTTAGTCTCTGATTAAAATTCGAAAATTAGTATAGGTTGGCAGAATTTCTTCTTTCAAGCAGGTTTCATTGAAGAACAGAGAATTTGTTTTATTCGCAATTTTCTTGTTAGTTTTTTCAATATATCGAACAATATTTTTAGTTTGAACTGGCAAATCGAAAATCAGGTTACCGATGGACATTTTTATTTCGTTAACGACGTTTCGAATGTTTCTATCATTCATTATCAAGTTAAAAGGCGCATTGAGTGATGAAATTAGCGTCGACATAAGTACAAAATCAAGTAAATAGGATACTACTCAAAAATCAAAATTGTTAGGAATAATTACAAAATCACAAAATAATTTAGAATCAAAGCACCGAAAATCACTCCGAAAACAGTCTCAAGGTTCTGACAAATTTAACTTGATAATGAATGATAGAAACATTCGAAACGTCGTTAACGAAATAAAAATGTCCATCGGTTTTCTGATTTCGATTTACCAGTTCAAACTAAAAATATTGTTCGAAATATTGAAAAAACTAATTAGAAAATTGCGAATAAAACAAATTCTCTGGTCTTCAATGAAACCTGCTTGAGAGATTAAAATTCGATAGACTTTTGCTCTCTATGAAATCCGTTTTAGATTTTAATCTATGGAATGTTTAAATTTGAAGCGATATTTTCTTAATTTTTTTGCCAGTGTTATCGGGGTAAAAACTAAAACTTGTATGAAATTTTTACGGAATGGGAAGTTTCTTGCTGCGCTCTTTCTGTGAACACGGCATTATCCTTTGTAACAGTTCTCACTATGTGATGCTGACCATATTTACCTTCCTAGCAGCAGCTCAACTCTTCTTATTACTCATTTTAAGAGGCCAATTGCTTGCCATGTGTTAGGGCCGTAGCACATTAGTAAGTAGGAACGGCGACTCGTGTTTGAATCTGTCATTCGTTGATGGGAAGTTGATTGAACTTCTTGGAGGTTGTGTCCGTTTAAATTACTCTTCCCTTGAGGAGCCGTGTGGATTTAGGCTCATAAACATTATGAATCTAACAATTCTGAATTTTCAATTTAATATTTCAAGGTCTGACTTGCGTTTTACAATTTGGTCGATTAATGAATTTCTAGTTTATTAAATTCAACATCAATGAGGATTCCGGGATTTGCCCGTTCATATGGCTTACGACCTGTGGCTGAAAAACTCTGTGCTTGTGTTTAATACTGATTGAGTGATAGAAAACTTTAAAATCAGCTAACCGCTTCTAAAGTCCCACAAAATTTAACTCGTTTATCTTTCACCGATCAGTTCATTTCTCATTGACTTCAAATCTAGTATCGTTGGAATTGGGAAGAAACCTGCCGCCCATTTCGAAGTTCGACCAAAGTGTGTATGCTGGAAAACTTGTATGGGCATCGACCAAAATTTTGGTCATTTCAGTTGAATTGGCCTCGGCTCAGGTTGTGTCGACAAGCTTCGTTTGAGGCATTGTGGCTGTACGGGGAGTTCTCGGAGATGCTTTCTGAGTTTTTAGTTGACATGTTCAAAGGTTAGTACTTAGTTATTGAAAGTATGAAATAAGAAACGATCTATTTATGAGA